GGCTTCCGACAATGTGTCTGGTTCACAGGCCCAGGAGCAGCGTTGCTCAGGAAAGGAGGAGAAGATGAAAGTGTGAGCTGGAGTTAGAGCCCAGCACGGGACATTTGTCATGGAGCTCTGAGGAATTCTATCACTTCTCTGCCCGCTCTACCTCCCTCATCCTGTGCCGCTGCTGCTGCTTACACATCTTTTTCTGGGGCACTTTTGAAGAAAAAATCTCCATCCTTTGAATCTGAGTATCTCTTTCTGAGAAAAGATCCTCTGCTAATTTTTTTTTAACTAAACAGACTTCCTTAAAAAAGCATGTAATTTCTAATAGATGGCCCTTAGATAGTCTGACCAATTGGTTTGGCAGCAAAGATTCTTCCCATGGCAGACACATCATCTTTTTATGTAATTCTTTGTAATCAACTTCTGTTGTTGTTAGAGGGATGGCTATTTACCTGTATGTTGATTTGGCAACACAAAGTACTGTCACCTGCATATCCAGGTCTGGCTGAGATGTGCTTTTGGATGGTCATTAAGACTGGTGGTTTGCATGCAAGGTGGAAATTTTCAAAGGAATTCTTGCTTGTAGATTTCAAATAAGAATAGGATAGTAAAAGAATAAGTTAGAGGTTGTTCCAAGGAACATTAAAAAAAAAAAAAAGACAAAACATCTGAATACTAGGGAAAAATTCAAAATCAAGACTTACCTTTAAAATGCAATGTTTGGGGAGAGACACACTGGAATGAGCAGGCTGTATCACTTGATAGAGGGAGAAATGGATGCTGATATTATCTCAAGACTCTCGGTAAGTTAGGGACAGAGATTCCGCAAGTGCTTATGGGGTTTTAGCTTCAGAAGCCCCCCTAAAAGATGTGGAAGTCATTAATGTTCCTAAACTCCCTCAGCATGTGCTAAAATCTTCATGTCCAACATTCTCTGTATTGTATGCTTAGAGCCTGACTGGTTTATTGATGTACACTACTGTATACATCCAGGGTGTTCTTTTTAAGATGTCTACGCCCTGGCTGACACATAGATTTCTCTTAACTTCCTAACTCACATAAATGTTTGTAGTGTTCAGTATGAATTGTGGGAATGTCCTACTAAGCTGCTGCTCTGTGAAAAGGCTCCTGTCTTTTCACAGGAGGTGAGAAGGGCTGTCATAGCAATATGTGGCATTTCTCAGCACTAGCATGACTGAGTTTTGTTATTTAATTTCCTTCAGACTCGTTAGATGATGTGGCAGATACACAGGTAAACAGTTATAGAAGGCTGTTTACCTAAGCATCTCTCATTAAGTCTCTTTAATAACCTGTGCCTTGCTATTCAAATGTGCTTATTTAATGGCTAATTCACCTAGCATCGTCATGAGTAAATGTCTGTAAATAAATATTTGCGATTAATATCATAAATTCATTTTTAAATGAATGTATTCTGAGTAAGTGAGAAGAAGCCCTCAATGGAACTAACGTGGAGACTCGCTTCTAGAGTAATTCTTTGAAATTCAATATGCATACTATGGCTTTTTGCAGTCTAGAGAAACCATGAGGAGCAGTTCAGGAGAGGACAGGGGAAAAGAAGGGAAGAAGGATAAGACTACCTTTATTGCTGCTGTTATTCTTTAGAAATAAATAATTTTAAAACTAGAACAGATACATTCAGAAGCCTAAGTAAAGCATAGTCAGCTCTGAAGTATATCATATTCAGGAATAGGCCTGGCTTCTACTGTCATCCTGTAGATGAATCAGTGGCCAGTATTTATTAAGAGTAGAATGTTATCTGCTTTGTAAATACAGTGAATTTTTTTCTTGCTGTGATGTGTTATAAAAAGGAGTAGTTCTACTAAGGGAGTTTCTTAATACAATTTCTACAGAGTTGTACAGAATATTTTCAGTGCACTTGGGAGCAATATTTCAGACTAGTATTTTTTATAGTTCTATCAGTATGCAGTTCTATCTTCCGTAGCTATTTACTCAGATAGATGTACGCAAAAGTTGGGAATCTCAGCAGTGAGTGCAAGTGGCTGCTTTAGATGTTAATATAAAAGGTGTTCCTAAAGAAGAATCTGGAGTAATAGAGGAAAACTCAAAATGATAATAATAGCAGAGCATAAGAAATGGATACATTTTTTTTTCATGGCCAAGGATAGTTCTTTTTGGCTCTGGATGTTTTAATATGTCTGTAACTATATTCAAAAGTCAGTACAAAAATGCTACTATGGATAAATTAGAGACATTTTTCATTTTTCTAATATCACTAAAAGCAAATGTGATAGTAAAATAAATTACCTCAGGACCACTTTTTTTCATGAACGACATGAAAAGTGCATTTGAAATTATTCATCCAACACAGAGTCCTAAACTGAGAGCGCTAAGCTTCTATAAGCTTCATTTAAATTAGTCGTATAGAAAAAGCTGGTCAGTTCCAAAAACTAAGACACTCCTTTATTATAGGTAAATGAAGTGTGAGATAGCCACAATTCAGGACATAATCAAACTTCAGTCTGTTTTTCTACACAGGCTTCATATATAGGGGTAGATATTTTTAATTTTTGTTTCTGTAGTTTACTCAGGGACAGAGGGGTGATAATTTGTCACGATTATGAATCAGAGAGAGAGTACACAAAGCAGTGTGGTGATCTTAGTGTTTTAAAGCCACTTTGAAATTTTGCTTAATTTTAAACTCCTGTATGCAAATGCTAAATGGCCCTCTTTTCTTACGGTTCTGTGGTTAACACAACAGTGACTCACAAGGTAGCCACTGTGCCTGCTTTGGAAGTAAGTAGTCAATGACCACAGTAATAAATGTTTGCAGGGACAAGACTCTTGTCTTATAAATTGCTTTGGCTTGGGACTGTATATTCCATAAGGGCAGGTCAGGTCAATGTGGCATATTTTTAAAGCAAATAATTCTTGTCATTATCAAGAGACCTCTGGAGTCAAGAATAGCAAGGCAGTAAGAGAGAAATAATTAATTTTCATCATTGCAGGTCTGTGGGTAAGCTGTACCAGTAAAGGTTCCTTTTAAGATCTCCAGGAAAATTATTTGAGGGATCATTATGCTTCCAGCCTTTCTCTGTCATCATTCTCATTCATCATATGGAAGACATTTGTATATGTGTGCCCTCTCCAGCTCACCCAACACTGTCAGATGTTCACTGTTTCTCCCCTTAATATTTATGCAGGCAACATGCTCCAACAATTTATCATAGTTCATCTTTCCTATACCTCTAGGCATAAGGCATGGAAGGGCTTTTCCACTGAGGCATGCACTTTCTGTACATAATTCGGATCTCAAAACAGCTCTTTGGCAAGCACAACAGCTTTATGGAATATCAGGGGTTGGTCCTCCTCTGTTTTCCAAAATGCGTTGCATCTAGTGAGAAATAATGCTGGCTCTGTGTATAGGAGATGCAACTCTTCATAGATAACTGGAACAGAGGACAGAGAGTTAAATCCTTGCTGCAAAGAAATATGAAACTAATAGGCACTTTGGTGTGCCACCTCTCCATCTTGGAGTATGAAGTCTGTATTCCTTGGTCTCTCTCTTATGGGAGCTGTTTCACTCTTCAAGATGTGGAGGGGAAGGAAGGAAAGAAAGGAAGAAGGCAGGAAGAATAGATTTTATAGCATAGTTTTGACTGTTGTCAATTTATAATATATAATTCTCTGATTCTTGAAAATACTAAGCATGTTAAAAGAACTTGAGTGCTACAACCAAAAGCAGCATGTTATAAGGCAAATGTACAATGGTTCTTGCAGGTGGGAGAGCTGAGTTCAGATTCTCTTAAGTAAAGAAAATTCAACCTAAGTTATCATATCCTAGCTGTCTTATTCACTGTCTCTCATCATCTGAGCAGTTAAGGCAACTCACTCAAATTGCTGCCTTCTCCTTTAGTGCTCCATTTCCTTTGCTGTTTCACAAGCCCCATTTTACTTTAATGCATCATTCAACCAAATGTTCACTTGCTTGTTTGTTTTTCCTTTCCGCAAATAGTCTAAATAAGTACATTGTGAGAGAAATAGAACTGAAGTTATTTTAATTGTTTTGAGCTTTGCAGCCTTTTTGAGCACCACTCTATTTATTAGCTGGCAATTACATTTTTGATGATGTAGAAATAGTAGCAATTGGATATGACAAATAAATCATTCTGGCCTATATATAGCTTCCATATATTAAAGACTTCAGAGAATGAAAGCATGGCTGACAAATTATCAGGCAAAACAATTATGGTATATAAAAGACTTGGCATCTTTTTCCTTATTTTTCCATCAAGTCTGAAGTTAGTAAAGTAGGCTTGATAGAAGTCTGTAATTGCTTTATTTGTTAAAAGCTATCGTAAATGATTTAGGCTTTGAGGAAAGAAAAAGTCTTGTCAACCTCTCCATTTGTGTTCCCTCAGTCTGCTTCCATTATCCACTTCAAGGTTTTTGCTTTCTCTACCAGGCAATGTGCCAAGAGGCGAGGGGGTTAAGTAGGGCTTAGTTCTGCTGCTAGTCTAATGCCAATTACAGCTCTTTGAATCAGCTCTTCCTTCAACCAATCTCGGTAATGTTCATCTTCAGAGTGGCTCATTTCATCATATTGCTAATGGTATGTCAGGAAGCCCTGCTTCAGTAGAGGTAAAGCATAGAGCACACTGTTTTGCAGTAAATAATTAGCAGAAGAATTACAACTTTCACCTTTCTGTTTCTCTTTTTTTTTTTTTTTTTAATGCAAATAGTATGTCAGTTTTAACATAATGCTGCTGTGTAAAATGTCATCTGCTGGCAATTTTTGTCTTTGTGACTCCCAATCACAAAAGCCTTGTTATGCATCAGGAAATCAAGTGACATCATGACAGGAACAAAAGGGTTGTTTTAAATGCCCTCATAGTGCAGAATTTTTCTTAAGGTTCTATTTTAATTTGTAGGATTTTAGAGTATGCAAGCAATATTCTTATGTAGATTTCTGTTATTTTGGATGAGATACAGCTCAACTGATATGTATTTGCTGTTTTATTTCTTCATAGATATTTCGTTGATCATAACACAGAAGAAGATAGGTATTTCACCATTGATGCTAGCACTGGGACCATCAAGACTGCCAAGATCTTTGACAGAGAGGAAACACCTTGGTACAACATCACAGTGGCTGCTTCTGAAATAGGTAAATAATACATTTGGCGCATAATTTTATGGAAAATCTTAAAAAGGAAAGGATTAATGTTTGATACCAAGAAATGCTGTCTTGGGACAGTAGGATCTTTTCAACACCAGCTTTTTTTTAACCAGCTTGAATAAAGGCAAGCTTTCTATGTGTATGTAATTTCTGTAATTCCACAAAACAAACAAACCCCTATATGCTTGTGTGATTCCATCTCTATAAATTTGCCACATTTTTCTTTACATGGTAGAAGGATGTCAGTTCACCCAGGAACATTTTCAGGCCATTCTGTGTCCAGTCTGTCCCATTTGTGTATCCTATTTCATATATCTCAGAAGATAACACTGTATATTTGTATATCTATCTGAGAAACTCGTCCTTGCCTCTTGTATGTGCTATTAACATAGTATTAATGATTTGCATGTTAAATATAATTATATTAACTTACATCTGCTGCTGCTTAATGGTTGTTGGTTATCAGGGTGTTCTTATGGCCTTTTAGTAGTTAAATTACCAAGTAAAGCTTGAACAGGGAGGTTGGACTAGATGATCTCTAGATCTTCCAAACCCTCAAACGCAGTCCAGAAATGTCTTGATTAAGGAGGCCCAGGTGAATATTTTTATACCAAGCAGGCACAATTAAGAAAATAGTTTTAACAAATATGCATTTCAGGTTTTTTTTATTGAAGGGTCTTATTTTTGGCACAAAGGTTAAAAAAATCTCTATCTCAAGCAAACAAAAAAAAAATCCCAAGTTGCATCAGTATATCCAGTTATGCCAAGTTCTGCTAGTGATACAGTCTTTCAAGGGCAATGATTTTGATCCAGAAACTGAATTACTTAATGTGTGTTTTCCTTTTTTTATTGTTTATTTTTTATTTTGCTTTTTGAGTATTCTGTCATTGCTGGATGATGCAATATAGTTTTTACCTGAAAAGTGCCACTGATGTTAGTGGCTTCCTTCTGCTTTCAGCTATTTCATTTCCTGATTAAAAGGGAATCTGGTTTTGCCACTATACTACTAGCATACACTGTAAGATTAGTAACACATACATATTTATAAGAGCAGCAGATTGGTTTTGATTAATATACTGGCTTTTGCAATTGAAATAAGATTTGGAGCTAAATAAATATCTGTTGTAAATAGTAGAATCTAGAGTCTTATAGTTGGTTCATAAAAAAAGGTAACCTGGTGAAATAGACAGAGAGTGCCCTCAGCAAGTGAGGTTTAATTATGAGCTACATTGGGACATACTGGAAAGGAGTAGTCACTAGACTTTTGGGGAAAACATCCAAACATAATTATTTTGCAGAAATAAAAAGCATTAAACTTCAATGTTGTTTTATCTACATTAATAGTCAAGTGAGTGAACACAATCCATGCTAAAAAAAATATGCTTATGACTAAAATAAAACTGAATGAATAATGAGAATGAAATACCATATTTTTAAAGCATGGAAAGCACGGATCTTGCTTTTTCCCTTTGCATGTCTCCTTACTATTAAATTTGAGATTGGAGAGATAAGTAAATCTATAAAGTCAGTTTGATACAAGTTCTCATATAAAAAAGGAAGCGATAACAGTAAAGAAGAGACAGATGGATGACAGACTGACAGGCAGCATAAATGTTGAATAGCCTTCCCTTATGTCCACTTCTTCAATCATTTTCTTATATAGAACAATTAAAAAAATACAAGAATATGCAAGGCTCAGAAAGACTATGCTGCTTCAACAGTAAGAGGTGCTCTGATGAAATAACATTACGTTTGTGACTAGTTTCTTGGCATGTTTTCTTCTCTTTACTTAATGTTGCACTACATTGACACTTTTCCTTCTACTGCTTATCCTTTATGCAGCTATTTATAGCTATCCATACTTTATGTGAAGGAAATTTAGAATCTGTGTCATATTCTTATGCTCATACTTAAGATATGCTCATGTTTCAGACCTTTTATTTCCAAACCCTTCATAAGAAGTTTACATTCTCTGTGAGTGTCAGTGTGTGAAGTACTCTCTGCATTGATCAGCTGTCTCTGCCAAAATCACTGAAAGTTCCACAACTTGCCTTTCTGGGAGTCATGCTAATGTAGTGATCAGTGATTTTTCAATTTATAGAAATGCAAGAGTTCTTTGCTAGGAGAATTGGATGATCCATTTTTTTCTTTAACATGCTGTGTTCTTCAACTGTAGGATACAGTGGGGATGAATATATCCTGGAGGAAATACCAGGGGACACCACTGCTGCTGTTGTTTTGCTCTGTTAGTACTAGTACTTACTGCAAAGTCCTTGTAATACTAGGAAGGGAGAAAGTTGGTAATAGTACTATATTTTTCATTAAAGGTTCTATAGATTGCTTTTGGGGTGGAGGAATGGACTGAAATTGCTGGATTAAAACTATGATATGAACAGGATTTAAAACTATGATTAACTTAGAATTATTTACATTTCATTAACTTACTAGAATTCTTTGGAAAAGTTTATCAAATAATAATCAAAAGAGGAAAGGAGATAGATACAGTTTGCTTGTCTTTAGTGATGGTGTTTGATCAAGTCTTTGATAAGAGTAAGGGAAATAAAAAACAGAGGAAAAGGACAGAGTTTCATAAACGATGAAATAATGTATCAGAGAAAAGAAATACAGCCTTTGTGAATGGGAGTGGAAAAAGTTAAGGTGGAGCTGCTTTAAGGATTGATGTAGGATGGATATCAATTGAAATTCTTTATAATGAATCTTTATAATGAAAGAAATGGGCAGCAAGTGATTGAGATTTCCAAACAACCCTTTTAGATGCTGAGAGTAAAGAAAATTGAGTGAAATTCATGCTTAGACTAAGGCATATTGAAGTACAGTCTACATAAATGAGCTATGAGAACAGTTAGTTCTAACCCTCTGAAAACTGCCTGAACAACCTGGCCCAAAGTGTTGTGATGACTTTCCGAAATCCAACAGGGGACCAGTCACTAGTGGTGTCCGTCAGCGATTGCTTCTTGGAGCAGTATTGCTTAACTTCTTCATCAATGACCTGGGTGATGGGATGGAGCACACCCTCTGCAAGTTTGCTGGTGATAGGAAACTGGAAGGAGTGCCTGATGTACCAAATGGTTGCTCTGCATCCATATGAGAGCGTGTCTCATATGAGAAAGGGTGCAGAGAGCTGGCACTGTTCAGCTTAAAGAAAAGACTGGTGGAGAATCTTATCCATTGTATAAGTATCCGATGAGAGAAAGTTAGAAAGGGACAATTTCTTCTTAGTGGTACCCGAAGAAAGGACAAGAGCCAAGGAGCACAAACTGAGATGGAAGAAATTTTATTTAGACACAAGGAAGGATATTTTTACTGTGGCTGTCGTCAACCACTGCAAATTTTGCCCAGAGAGGTTTTTCAGTCTGCTTCCTTAGAGATACTCAACTCCTGATGGGACAGAGTCATGAGCAGCGTGCTGTAGCTAACCCCACTTTGAGCAGAGGAGTTGGACCAGGCAGTTTCCAGAGATCCCTTCCACCTGCAACTATTCTCTGCGTGAGTGATTCTGTGATACAAAAAACAGTTGAAATAAATACACTGGAGAGGGGAAAGGATAACCGTTTTTCACAAGTGCTCATGTGTTCCAAAGAAAAATAAATGATTTTATAAATAACTGCGGGATGTTCTGTTAAGATTTCTCTCTAGTATATAGTAATACTGGTAAAAACATCAGCAAGAGAAATAACATCAAAACCCAAAGTCATAGCCAGTGCAAGAGAAAGAGAGTACTAAAATATAAATGAGTGGACCTCTGCAAGTTCCAAAGCCAGTTAGAAAAATATATTTCAAATTAGAAAAATAAGTATATACTCTGAAGCTTTCAAAACAGTGATGCAAGTTATGTATAAATGGATATGGATAATTTTTTTGTGGTCAATAAGAGGGAATAAAAGCTGAGGCACAGAATTAACAGTAATGAATGAAGGAATTCAGAGAATGTGTTGAGAGTTAGACTGAGACTATCTTCCCACAGAAATTACAACTTAGAAGTAAAGCAAGAAAGGCTTTTTTTTTCAGAAAACTCATTTTGGGAAATAATTCTAACAACTGAACCAACTGTTTCTGAGATAGACAGAGCACAAATAGCTTCTATATATTTTGTCCAAATGATGTTAAGGCAGGAGATTACTGCAGTTCATAAAGTACTGGACATTTATAAGGATAATAATATCTCTGGTTGTAACATGAAACATGGTTTATCAGAGAGATATAAATGCTTATATCTCATGGCAGATTTAACCATTTCCATTTCAGGGATTTAGAAGATAATTTTGGAGGGGAGTTTTCCATATCTTTCTTTTGTGCAGCTAGTAATTACCACCATGGAAAATCTTTCTTCTTTCCTTCTGCACATACCTGTCTAAAACCAGTTTCACAGGAAAAGATATCAGAGTGCTGATGTAGAGCAACAGCTCCCTGGCAAAATATGCAGTGCCTTGTGATGTGGTATTGAAAGGATCCCAGGGAAACATAGTCATTACAACACCTACACAAGGAAAGACATTTTGATATATTTTGTTGAGGACCAGTCAAGTCTTATGAGAATTTAAAAATGTGAAAAAGTGAAAAATTAGAGTATATGGCAGGTATCTTATTTAACCAATCTGGTTAAAATCGTTGAAGTGGGTGCTCTACTTATAAGTAGTATATCATATTATATTGCCGTATTATATACAACCTATATATTGTGTATGCAACACATATCTAATATATAAATAGTAAATATATTTTTATCATTTGTAAGTCTTCGTGGAAACAGAAACTATGACACAGAAAGATAGAGTTACACAATTTGGAGAAAACAGAGTGCACAGAGAGAAATAATAATTCCTATCAAAATAAATAAACAGATGAAGTTCATTTCATGTTTTACAGTTGAATTTCAGCAGAACAGAGATGCTGTTATTATGTTCCTAAAATTTTGTGAAGAGATTACAATTTACGTTGCTTGTAGGCGTGCTAGATGAGACAGTCAC